CCCTAACCAGCTACTACAAGTTAATTCATGCAAATGGAGTTAAAAGTCGTTTTTAATCCCCAAAAAGTAGTCGACATTTTTTAAACGTTTTTAAAACTACATCACGACTTTTGTTACAGTAATGTGCTGGTATGGGAATAAACTTTTGTCAAGTATTTCATGATACTAGAGGTACGAAAACGTGGCAATTTTGGACTACACCTACCATTTTTCAAAAAATCTTTGTTGTAAATGTGGGCTCCATTTCAACCTACTGTTGCATTTAAATACCGCACCGTAACGAACGTGAAAGCACTACGTATTTGCAGTGTGAAGCTCTTCCAAAGTGCAACATATACCCCCAGTGAAAGGTATTTGTAGACATGGAAATCTGACGTGCAAAGCAACTCTGTAAAAACTGCGTTCGCACCTTTGCTTGTACGATCACACGCATATATCCATGAAGTACAGTTGGAGAACAAAAAAGTCGAACTATAAAAAATTGCAAGCTCAACGTAGTCATTTTCGTGTCACGGATTAGCAATCGCCTGGACTTCCTAAGAAAGTAAAACGACACGACAATCGAATGCCTTCAGTGGCTGTCCGCGTACACATATGCTCACGTTGCAATATTACATGACGAGCAGAGAAACGGACTCGTTCCGAGAGCGACTGTCCGGTTGAGAGACTACTCGTATCCTCAAGGACTTGAGCGTCTCGTATATATGCACACTGCGCACGTAATTCCATCGTAAACTGCGTTTGTTGCACATTCCCGCGTTTCGCGATGTCTTTCTTTGCTTTGTAAGCAAAATCACGCGAGTGTTACTCAAACTGCTTATTTGCGTTGGCGTTCGGGATAGGAGGTATAGAAATGAAATGTTTAGTTTTAATTCTCCCTCTTTCGGGTGTTGTTGATTGTGACGAGTGTGAGTGGTAAATAGTTTGATTTTTGGCGAAAGATTGATTGTATTTGAAGTTACATGGTAAGAACGCTTTTTTTGTTCGCATGAATTTTTCGTACCAAAGCAAATTTGTTTGTTCTTGTCAAGCAACTTTTCTTCGTGATTTTTCGTACATCGTCTTTGCTGTACCTAGAAAAAAAAGACATGATCGGTATTTATCATTATTTCTCTTCAACATTATTCCTCAGCTCTCAAAGTTACTTGACCAACAACAGCTTCAAATTTTATTGTTTATTAGTTTACTTACTTCAATAAATCAATTAAAGACAAATCGTGTAAATTTTCAGAGTTCTTATCAACAATCACAACTTCAACTTGTGCTTCTCGGTTGTACCCGTAATAAAAAGTAAACAATTATTGTATAATATATTTATTCGTCTATTATTACTATCATACAATGATAAAAAAACTTATACGAATCACAAATAACAGCAGGGAAGAGCGTTGAAATTATCGGGAATCCAGCACTGTGATGTTTACTAAAGATAAATGTATACCTTTTCTTTATCTCATCACTTTCCTCCTTACTGCGAACAGACAACATCATAGGTAGGGACCAAAATATTATTATCGTTCGTAAGCTCTCAGAAAATGTAGTGATAAAATTTTTGTAGATATTGTACCCAAAGTTTTGCATTCACTTAAAAAACAATTAACTAGGCCATTTCAATAGTGACAGGCGTTTAGAGGTTCTGCACATTTTCAATAGAGTACTACAAGTTCAAGCAAACGTGCACTTTTATTTTACGTTCTGATGTAGGTATAAAACTCGTCTATCAATAATTTAAGCTTGATTATATATTTGTACGCAAACAATAACAAAAAAATAACAAGAAAATGATATTCAATTAATTGCTCTGACGATAAATCGGTGCAAAGCTTAAAGTTCACGAGGGATCAGCGTGTCACATCAGTCAATCAACCAAGGATGACTATCTCTGTCTCTTGTTTCCTGTGACTCAGTCGCTCTATCTGAACTCCAGGCCTTCGTTTAAAGCTTTTTTTCATAGAGTAGATGAACCCAATCTGCGCCTTTTATTTTTAGCACAATAGCATGGGAGGGTCTTTTGCCTTCGGGCGTCGATTATACAGTGAAATAATGTAAGAGCGAGAGTTTCATCCCGTTCAAAGCTTCCGAGGTGCTATACTTATTGGCATCAAACATCGAAATACCTCAAAAAAGTGGTTTTTTACGTATACTTTTTTTTATTCTCTTAAGTATAATTTTTTCGAAGCTTTTCTTAGCTTACTTTAAAAACGAAATACTCATTCAAAAATAGCTTATTGGTAAAGTAAATCCCCATGCTGAAGTTGTAGATGCGCTTGAAAAATATATAGACATTTTTTAATGGGACATAAAAACGTAAGAATCTTTGTGACATATCTCATTATTTAGTCCCCATATAAAAAAAGTCTTCCTCTCACCCATAAGAGAAAACAATAAGTTCTTTTTTATCACATACAATGGAGAGCTATCGGAAAAAATAAAAAATCATTTTAAAAAATATAATACACGAATAACATTTAATTCTGATTAAAGTCTACAAACAGTCATAAAAAAAAATAAAGATAAAACAGAAAAAAGAAACAAGTCTAGTGTTTACGAAACTGATTGTGAATCTTGTGATGAAAAGTATATAGGACACACGGCCAAAGCTTCTAAGTATAGAATGAAAGAACATAAAAATGCTTCAACAAACATACTAGATAGTTCTAGTTACGCTAGCCATATAAATAATTGTAATCATGCTTACAATGATAATTTTAAAATTCTGCATACATTTGAAAAAGGCTAAAAGTTGGATTATTTAGAAGCATTACAAATCAATAAGTTGAAAAATTCAGACGTATTGTCGAATGGCTAAACCATAATACCTCACCTTTACTAAATTTAGAATTTAATGAATGTGTTTATTGACCATGTGTGTATCGTTTGCTGTTATTAAACCGAAAGATGTGTACGCCTGTGTGTATTTTCATCATTTGGTATACTATTTATATTAGTCTTGTTGTACATACGTCTGAGAAGATCGGCTATTAAATAAAAAAGTCAATCATTTAATTATCCTAATAAATAAGTCGCCTGTATCTTTTGTCTTCACTTAGAAATAACTTTTCGAGTACAAAAAAAAAATTTTTACAGCTTTCAAAAATTTAGACANACTAAACCATCAAATATTGTACGTTGTGAGACAAAATCTATAGTATAGTATTTTTCTTGACTTACAGAGTACATTCAGTATTATTAATTCATTATAATATTACCTAATAAATAAGTCGCCTGTATCTTTTGTCTTCACTTAGAAATAACTTTTCGAGTACAAAAAAAAAATTTTTACAGCTTTCAAAAATTTAGACAGGTGCAGGTCTTTAGGTATACTTAAATAATTAAATAACTTTACAGTTGATATTTTTTGAATAAATTTTATTACGTCTTGTTTGAGATCAACCTCTTATTGGACGTATACATTTTTTAGTTAAATGCCTACAAAAAAAAGTAATTCACTTGTTTATTAGAACTTAATCATTGGGTTACCAGAAGGACTTAAAAGTTTATGTACTCGTACTCAAGTTACTTTTTTATTACTTTATATACATAACAACTTTCAAACAATATTTTTCAAGACGCAAGTGTAGTTGTAAAAAACCATTTGTGAAAAATTTAATTCAGAATGTTCTTAAAGCCATGGTAGAGAAATTAGTGTCAAGAATAATAGCAGTTAGAAAAATGAATTAGTTCAATGATCTCGAGTTGCACTTATTTATTCTTCATAATCATCACATCATGAAAAAAAAATATAACTTTTTAGCGCATACTACGCGCATATGTATAACGGCAAACTTTTTTTATTAACTAAATACATATTTCTCAGTTCAGTAAATAAGCCGAAAAATACTATAAAATCTGGAAAAGTGGTGGAAGAACTCCGATTTCGAAAATTCTTTTTTTCCTTGATTCCTTAGACCCTAAGGAACATTCATCACCACTAATCTCGGCCTCACTCCGAAAATTGAATAAAGGGTGGTGGTTTTAACCCTCTCAAAAGCACCCCCAGTGAAACAGTGGAAAAAATTTTTTGTAAATAAGAATTTTGTGTTAAAAATCGTCTCTCGGGGGTTTTCGAGGTCGCTGATTCCGAATCTGAGGTCTGATTTCAAGTAAGGGTATTTACAACCCCTTAAAATTACCCTTAGACGTGTCGGAAATTTTTAAGAATCTTGTGTGAGTTTTTGACGTGCGAAATGAATATTTATGTTTTGAATTTCGCTCTACATCATTATTACAATATTTTAATCATTGCAATATTTATTTCATTTCTATCACGTCTAGGGGTGGTTTTGAGAGGTTAAAACTACCCTTACTTGAAATTAGACCTCGGATTCGGAATCAGCGACCTCGAAAACCCCCGAAAGACGATTTCCGAGGAGAAATATTATTTTTAACTTTATTTTTCATTTCTGACACGTCTAAGGGTGATTTTAAGGGGTTGAAATTACCCCTACTTGAAATCAAACCTCGGATTCGGAATCAGCCACCTCGAAAACCCCCGAGAGACGATTTTTAAGGCAAAATTCTTATTTATAAAAAATTTTTTCCACTGTTTCACTGGGGGTGCTTTTGAGAGGGTTAAAACCACCACCCATAATTCAATTTTCGGAGTGAGGCCGAGGTTAGTGGTGATGAATGTTTCTTAGGGTCTAAGGAATCAAGGAAAAAAAGAATTTTTGAAATCGGAGCTGTTCCACCACTTTTCCAGATTTTCCGGCTTATTTACTGGGCTAATTGTCTCATTACGCATAGGTTATCTGCGGCAATAAATTACTGTTAACGAAATTCTCTTTCCCTTCCATATTCCCATGCTCTATGCGGTATAAATGGTATGATTCATTCACATTTTTTTAATACGTACTGACTTGAACTATCTAAGTTCAATAAAGATTATGCTCTTAATTAACTTATTTATCAGTATGAGAGATGCTGGGCAATTATCGAAAACTAATTACCAACTCAATAATGGGGTTTCTAATGACAACAATATCTTTTCAATGTTACAGGTCTAAGATCACGGTGGGGATGACTGATGGAATTATTGTTTTCAATGAAGACTAGAGAAAAAGCTGGGCATTTAAATCAAAAATTTTGTCATTAATAAAGTAAAAAATGAAGACCTTAACTGCACTAGCAATCTACGTCGTAGCTGTACTATATTTTGGAGACACAAACGCTCTTGAGGGTCCAAATGTTTGTACGAGACAAGAAGCGTAAGTTATTATACAGCTAAATATATGTGTGCATGCCATATTTTCAATTACAGATTAATCATATTTATTTGTATATTCTTTTTTATTTCAGATATACTGTGACCGTTAAGGTTTCCGTACAAAAGCCATACACCGAGAGACAAAGATCCTTTTGCTTCAACGCTCCCCCGATATGTTCTAAGTACAAGATTAGCTTCAAGACCGTCTTCAAAAACGAAGTCAGTTTTTATCAAATTTTATTAAAAAATACTGAATCATTGTAATTCTGAAAGTTAAAACCAAAATATGGAACTAACGAAATGATATTTCTTGTTTCTCAGACTATAACAAAATATCGCCCAGTTGAAGAGTGTTGCAAAGGCTATGCTCAAACAAACGACGGAGAAAAGTGCGTAGCAGTTTGTTCGAAACCTTGTCTCCATGGGTCATGTATAGCACCTGACGTCTGCAAATGTGAAACTGGATATGGCGGACCATCTTGTGATGTCAGTAAGTGACGGGCCACATTTTGTAATCGTTTAATTTTGGAAAGAATTTGGTACACATCTGTTCAGATGTGAGAAATATATCTTTTTGCTGTATGAAAATGAGACAAATGTTTTCCCCTTCATAACTGTTACGTTTAATAAGTTTGAATACGCTTATGTAGATAATCAAAGAGAATACATTCAATTGAATAAATCAATACAATTTATTCATATTTTTTGCATTATCATAAAACAATGTGGTTCTCAGTATTCCTGACCTTCGTCAGCTGCAGTATCCATACTAAACCATCAAATATTGTACGTTGTGAGACAAAATCTATAGTATAGTATTTTTCTTGACTTACAGAGTACATTCAGTATTATTAATTCATTATAATATTAAAAAATCAAGAAGCAATGAACGACTTTCTCAACAGTAAAATTTAGTTAGAACACAGGCTTCCTCATTTCCTAATTAACGTAGACAGACATGCATAAACACTGGAACATTCTGATTTGATTACTAGTACAGATCAATGTCTCGTATTTACGGTAGAATTGCTGCTACAAAGGAAGATCTTATCCTTCAAATCCTCATAATAACCAATACAACGGGTACGAAATATTTTTTCTACAGAATGTCCACTGGGTAAGTGGGGTAAAGACTGCCTGGAGACTTGCCACTGCGAGAACGGCGCAAGCTGCGACCCCTACGATGGCAAGTGCACGTGCACTCGCGGCTGGACTGGGGACTACTGTGGAGAGCGATGTCCGCCCAATAGGTACGGCCAAAATTGTGGTGAAGAGTGCCGCTGCCGTAATGGAGGTAGCTGCCATCACATATCCGGCGAGTGTCACTGCGCTCCAGGTTACACCGGCCCACTGTGAGTACCTTTTTTTGTTATGTATTTATTTTAAGTCACTCGACTATCTATTTATCTTTCAAATGCGTTGAGTCGACTTTAGCCTTGACTTTAACATCCTATCACGACTCTCACTTGGTGATTTTGTTTAATTTATACTCGTGAAAAATTCGCTTTAGGCTAAAGCTCTGTACTACTCGAGTAGAACTTTTGACGGAAAAGGGAATAATGCTGAACATGTTAATTATAACATGCTGCGAGAATACTAAGGTAAAATGTAATCATACAGTTTTAGATGGGACACCAATTGAGTTTACAAGTTTGCGAGGATTATTGCTTTATTTGCTTTTAATCATGTTAATTCGGGTTTAGACGAAACAATATTGACCAGAGAAAAATGGTCCATTGTGTCATTTTTGATAGCTTTTGTTTAACATTACTAGTACTTTGTATTACACATTGACAGTAATAATGTTGAAGGGTATTGACAAATTTTTAGTATTAAGTTATTCTTCAGATCTACGTCTGAGGAGAAACCGGTTTGATACAGAATCAATGAAGAAATAAGGATACACTCAAGTGTAAGATGACAAGTAAATAATTAAATCAATAAAACGACACGGCAATGTGCACTCGAGGAATAAAACAGCGTGCCTATGCACAATTCGATCGAATAAGCATTTACCTACCTTTTTAATCCCTAGCCTCTTTCGCACGAGCGGATACGCGCTAATTTCATCAACTGTCGATAGGTATATAGGTTCACGCGTTGACAGAGACGCCACTGCTGAGTCGTGTGCAGAGTAGAGCTATGCAGCACTTGATAGTTTGTTGCTACTATCGGCTGTCGGCAAATATTTTAAAGTCATTGACACCAAAAGAAATAAATTGCTTGTAAGGCAGTGCAAGAAGAAAGAATTAATTACTTTAATTTTGGAAAATTGCGTTAGAATCTGGATACGTCATAGAACATGGATCTGTGATGATGAAAATGTTAATTAGATATTTATTTGCGTAATCATACGATTAAAGTATTGCTTTTAGTAAATGAATATAGCAGAAAATTATTATGATATGGTACGTTATCAAGAGAACAAATATAACTTAGTTAAGATTACCTTTCCACTTACGTATTTTAATAAAGTATCAACGTTTGGGGTAATGAGTTTAAGTTCGTATGGGTCAAAAGCTTAATTTTATTGTACTATTTCTATTTTAACGTAATAAAACATTTTTCAAATTGAAATTAATTTCAAGTTAATGTAATATTTTGATTATAACTATGATGTGTATGTTACGGTTTTACGATAGACAAGATCATGTTACGTAGAAGGTTGTGTACTAATCCTCGTATGACTATCATAGTCTTTCAAAAATAGGAGATAACTTATGTCTTCATTTGGTAAATATCAATCCATGGACTCGTTTCTATATGTATTTAGTTTTTTTTATCAAAACCTTTTGGATAGAAGTATCAAAATTATACAATCTATGTTAAGGCTCTACAGTTAACATTCTCAATTCTCAAGTTTTAAACTTTTGAAATTAAGTAATTTTTAAATTATTATTTAGCCTTGTTAAAATTATGAAGACATAGTCAATATTATTGCAAATAAATCAATAACGCTGCTCACGATAATGCTAGCTAAGCTCTGCATTATCTCTTAATTTGCGTTGAATACAAGTGTTTGTAAAACTAAGTTTGAGTATTGTAAGCTGTTGGGCTACCCTAGACTCTGACGTAAGAAGAAAAAGTCATAATATTTCACATAAAAATAAGCTAGACAGCTTACGAGATTGTAGGATTCATAAAATGGTGATGCACTTATAGATGTGATAATCTTTGCCCGGCTGGAAAACATGGTGACGATTGCCAATCGGAATGTCGTTGTCAAAATGGAGGATCATGCAGTCCAACGACGGGCAAGTGTTTCTGTACCCCAGGATGGATGGTAGATAGTACCAATTTATTCTTTATCAGTTTAATTTCAGAAATTTATAATTTTATATTCCTCTGAAAAATTAATTAAAAATTTCCAAAGTATAACTCAATGTCTTTGGAAAAGTGATTTTCTCGGAAATCCTCTATTAACTTACAGAAACAATTGACGTCTATCAATAACTTAACATAGTACATGGACTAGTAGATTTTTAAATTTGCTTACATTTATTATCAAAAGATAAGGATTAAATTAACTTTTATCAAGTGCTATTTGACTACGAGTTTGTATCTTTACAATTCCACTAATGAGGATATAATAATGATAAAAAACCTTTTTTGACAGCCACGTAAATTTGTTGACAGTAAAAGTTTGTAACCAAATTGAATAAAAAATTTTAATTGTCAATGGTTATCAAACCCCCGTAGGGTTCAGTCTGTGCCAATAGATGCCCTGAAGGTTTCTGGGGTAAGGAATGCAAAGAAACTTGCGATTGTTACAATGACGCAGGTTGTGATCACATAACTGGAGAGTGCCAATGCAAACCTGGATTTTATGGGGATAAGGTAAGTTTACTATCAACTAACCATATGAATATATGAAAATAAATGAAACAAGTTGACGTGAAACAAACTGTTACAGTGTTTGAAGAGTTGTCCACAAGGTAAATTTGGTCTCAACTGCGAGGGTACCTGCCCCAAGTGCGAAAATGAAGCTCAGTGTTCGAGCATCGATGGTTCATGCATGTGCATGCCAGGCTGGACTGGTGATAGGTGCAACGAACGCATGTGCCAAGATGGTTTTTATGGTCCAGAGTGCTCAAAGGTAACGCTGTTTTTTACTTATTACAACTAGGTTTATTACTAAGTGTATGATAAGGTCAAACAAAACTTTTTTCTTAACTGAGCATAACATCGCCGTTACTGGATCCATTTGAATGATTGAAAGACTTTCAAAAAGGATATGCAATTACGTTGATTCTAGATAAGACATTCTATTTGCATTAGCATAGTAACGCTGAACTGGAACGTATGAAAAATTTTCGGGATCATATTCGAAAAATTATATCCATGTATATTATATGTATGGAAATTATTTTAACATGTAAATTGCGGAAAAAGGGTGTCACCCTCTATGGAACCCGTGTTCAGAATTTTTATCTCATAGTACATGACATTATAAGTAAAATGAGTCCTGTTTCAAAGGTGGTTAAAACAATAAAGGACAAAAACTAGATATTTTTTGTGGATTTCTTTATCTACATACTACGGGGGCTTAAATAATCTATATTTTATAAGTGGGGCTAGTGTACTATTGGGGCTTCACCCCTTGCCAACCTATCTAACATTGGGGGTGCTGTGGAGGGGCATGTGTGTGGAATGCTGTGGGGATTAGCGGAGGTGTTTGGGGAGTTGAACCCACGTTTTTTTGAGTTAAAATCAGAGTGAAACGAATCGAACTGTCCCTCATTTTGTGAAGGATCTCCGTGAGTAGTAGGGAGAGGAGTGGACAAACACACTTAAATAATTATAACATAGGAAGAAGAGCGCGCAGTGGCTCAGTCGGCTAGGTCGTGGATTGGCACGCGGGAGATCGTGGTTCGATTTCCGGCCAGTGCTACTTTTCGAGCAAGTACCTCTGTGTTTTTTCACATGTGCTTTTTCACCACGCAATGCTCCTCGAGGAGGGCTTAGGCGACTTTCTTGCAGCAAAAGTTGCCTAATCTCCCCCTACCCCCTCCTGTAATGGGAGGCCTCCCATCCCTTTCCTTGTTCCTTTCCCAAGTGCTGAGTGCCCATAGTAGGGTTCTTATTAAGGGAGCCGGACGTAGAGCACTATTATATGAAAAAAAAAAAAAAAAAAAAAAACATAGGAATAATCTACCTCCGTTAATTCATTCTAACGTGCTTTTTTTACTTTATCAGCTCGATCGCTGGTATCACTCATGAGCTCATTTATACATCTTTCTACGTTCATACTTACCCACTATCCTGTGTTGTGATGCTGTTGCTTCACTTTTCATCTTTTACTTGCTTTTACAAAGCTCTGATGAAGAAAGAGAGATAAAATTTTCATGAAATTTTAACCACTTATGCATGGCTATACTACTTAAATGTAAATTTTTTTAAAAAAACCTTTAACATGAAGTACCTTTACCACCTTAAAGATTTTTTCATCATAGAATGTAAAAATAAAAATTACCATGGAATAGTTATTAATACAAATCTACATAAAATTTCCCTATAAAAAATATCGTTTCAGGGGGCTTTTGAAATGGTACCATATAAATACTATTACATGGTACAATATAATAAATGAAACAACAATTTAAATTTTAATAATTAACGTTGAATAATTTAATCATAATAAATACTGTTTAGTTAGGCCTCCATATTAGTACCATAGATGGCTTGCTTAATTTCGTTTACGAATAAAAACTTGTTTAACATCTATACACGTTTTTATCTTAAGTGCCATACATTCCACACTTATTTCTGTCCCTGTACGTGATGCAAAGTCCTTGAAAAATATTATGAGAAGCATATGAATCCAAAGACTAACGACTAGAAAAATAAGCAATGTGCATTTTTTTACTCTACTTTTTGTAGGTTTGCGAGTGTGACACCGATAACACCGAGCTGTGTCATCCGTGGACAGGCCAGTGCAGATGCAAGCCCGGTTTGGCCGGGAAAACATGCTCACGACCCTGTCCCTATTACACGTACGGCAATGACTGCCAGAATCGTTGTGACTGCCAGAACGATGCCCAGTGCTCACCCGTCAACGGCACTTGCATATGCGCTGCTGGCTATCGGGGCGAGCGTTGCGACGAGCTCTGTCCTACCAACACCTTCGGCGAGGACTGTGCACAAAAGTGCGTCTGCCTTCATAGAGCTACCTGCTCACCCGAAGATGGACACTGCAACTGTACTGCAGGTTAGTTAATTGTCTTTTCACCATATGGCCATTTGGGACGACTTTCACAATATGCTCTAGTACGTTTGTTTCGGTAATTATACATTCGTGACTTCACACATCAAATAATTTGACATTGTATTAAGAACTAGGGATTTACATGAAAGAAAACAAAATTTTTTGTGGCCTCTATAGCTATTTTATCAGTCAGCGTCACTTTAAATGACGTAGATGAATGACGTGATGACGGACGATTGGTTGGACCACGGTTTTTTAATTGGAGGGCCTTTGATACAAAACTGGGGGACGAACATCCAGACGTGAGGGACGCGTGAAATTTCATAGACGCGTGTTGCTCCTTGTTACACTCTATCTCGCGTGACTACATTCAATTACATAACTCGAGTTTTTAGTCTCAGAAAATGATGCGAGTTCCGAAATTCTCGCGTATAACGACCAAAAGAAACATTAAAAGAACAATCAAGTTTCTATTTCTCTAAGTATTAATATATTTTACTGGAGTTGCAGAAAAAAATATTTAAACATCTAAACATTTAAGATGTACCTTTTAAGATATTTCTGATGGAAAATTACTTGAGAGGCTTGATAAAAAATCCAAAAACTTTTTTACTGTACTCTGTAATAAACAAATTCATCAATCTTTATTATCGACATCTTAGACAGTACGCATTAAATTAAAATTTGGGGAAAAAAAACTTTTCTTTTTCTCTTGATCAATCTAATCTCGTTGTACAGTTTCTCTCAAACACTTTAAAACATGATGTACTTACATGTGAGAATTAGTAACACCAGCTATTAGTTCCTTTAACTATTTCTCACAGTGCATATGCCGCTTTTTTATGTAACTCTGATCGTAGTAGTAATTTAATGAATTGTTCAAATATATGAATATATGAATATATTCTATATTCTGAAATACAGTAGAATCTTGCATGACTTATATTCCAATGGAACATTATATAGTATTCAGCGTAGTCACCTTAAAACTTCATATTGTAGTAGTTGGATGTTACTCGCTCGTAGTCATTGTAAAAATGGACATTAATAAAGTTTCGAATGTCCCCACGGATGGAAGCGTTCAACACAAATTAATGCGTTCAGAATGGTAAGTCTCGAAAAATATCTTAATGTTGACTCGCTCCAAATAGGCTGGGACGGTGTACACTGCGAGCGTCCTTGCGCCCTTGGTTTCTTCGGAGTCGATTGCAGCGAGAAATGCAAGTGCCTGAACAACGCTGCTTGTGATCCGCAAAATGGTAAGAATTTCCTTCAAGTCACCAAATACTCGTACAGTAAGGCAGAAAAGAAAAATACACGTGTATCGTGTGAGTCAGGAACATGCACGTGCCCACCGGGTTACACGAACGAGCTGTGCGGCAACCGTTGTGAGAGAGGCTTCTTTGGCATTGGATGCTCGCAAGTGTGCGATTGCGATCCCAACAACAGCATTGATTGCGATCCGGTTACCGGACGTTGCATCTGCAAGCCAGAATGGAAAGGTGAGAATAATGTCCTGCTAAGTCCTCTAGTAAAGTTGGCGCCAATGGCCTTCAGAGGGCGTGCATGTCAGACAAGCAAGGGATTTTTTGAACTTTAGTACAAGATTTTAATGCCATTGAATTGAACGTAGGGATTCGTTGCGGGACAAAGTGTCCAAACGGTTTGTACGGCGAAGAGTGCCACAACGAGTGCAACTGCAAGAACAACAGCTCGTGCGATCCGAACACTGGTGAGTGTGTATGCGCACGGGGTTGGGAGGGTACAGATTGCTCGCAGCCGTGCAAGAAGGGATGGTATGGAATGCGCTGCAAGGAAAAGTGCCCTGATAAAAATCACGGTAAGTACACAAAGGATTGGACACATCTTGTCAACTGTTGGTCTTTGAAACTTTTGTTTGCACTTACCAATTAGATTTGTTGAAAAAATTTATGTTTCGTACGGAATGATTATTTTCATGAAGCTATGATTGATTGTACCGTATATTAGATATACATTAAAAACACATAGAAATCTTAGAATTATTTGATGATAAAATGCTAATATTAGATCTTACAGCTTTATGCAGTTTTTGTTTTCAAAGCTTTATCGTTAATTAGACTAATAATACTTGATCGTCGTATCCAATACTAATGCATAAATGTAACTATCTTTGCTCGTTCTTGCTTATTTTTCTCAATGTACAAGAAATCATAACTCCTGTATAAGTATTGATATTATTTGTTTTATGATAAAATATTTTTGCAAGCTCTAATCTTACTCAAGTACCAAATACCTTGATTATTGACGGTGGTTTCAGTTTGATGATAACTTTACTGGTTCTGAATATCAGATGTGTGATTCTTTTACTGATTAGCGCTTATTTAAAAGGGTCTGAATGTTTTAAGGACGTTCATCACATTTAGCGGAGGGAAATTATATAGAGGTAGGGCTAGTATGAGCATGTAGCAAAGTTCCAAATAAAAAAAAGAAATTGAAAAAATTCTAAAGACCAGTATCCTCTAAAAACTATTTTTTGTGATATTTTTACTGGGTTACGTGTTGAATTGCGTTTTTTTACCACTCAATTACCGTAAGGATATCTATCAACGATGCAGCGAAATCATCTTCATATCTAACGATTTAAGGTCATTATGAACATGATACAAAAGTCAATAAAAAATCACTAGATATGTGTGATCAACGTCCTTAAAAGACTAGACAACCATTAGAAAATATAGGTTTATCATGTCGGAGCGCTTACAAAAATTGTGGAATAGGTATAATACAAAAAACAAATTAAAAGAAACAAACCAGGAGGTATAAATGGGTCATGGGACCCACGGTAAGAACAAAGTTCTTTAAACATGACATGAGTACAAAGACACACAATTTCTCAGGTAACAAGGGGATTGCCAGACCCATAGGAAGAACGAAGCTCTCAAAGGTACTCGAATTGTAAGCGGAAGGTCGAGGGTTCAATTCTCTTTATTGGAAAGTATTTTTTCTTTCTTTTTTTTTTTTAAAGAATTGTAAAAGAAAAAAATTCAAAGTGAAATAAAAATTATTGTGGGAAAATAAAATTAAAATTGGTTTAAACATTAATTGCTTGGGAGTGTGAAAGGGAATGGTGGACAGAGGTGTGCAGGAGAGTAGTGCGGCACGGCTGGCAGATACATGGTGGGGTGAGGGGAAGTGTGTAGGGAACTGTAGGTGAAGAGAACGGGGTAAGGAGGGAAACTTGCGAGGAAGAGACTTCCGGTAAGCCACTTCCGTTTCATCAAATCTGTCGGTTTTAAAATTCCAGCCCCCCGAGTACGCGACATAAAGAACTTCTTTCTAATAATGTATTTTTTGATTAACCCAACGACACTCAATTATAGAAATCCAAAAAAGTTACACTAACGATGTACCATTGTCATTCGACGTACCATTTCAGGTAACGTAACATGCGACCACGTGACGGGACAGTACGTCTGCCGCGCGGGCTACGTCGGTATGACGTGCGAGCACCCGTGCCCTGCGAACCGCTGGGGCCAAAACTGCGACGAATACTGCGACTGCAAAAACGGCGCAGAGTGCCACCACGTGACCGGGGTCTGTCAGTGTCTGCCCGGCTGGCAGGGCGAGCACTGCCAGTTTCGCTGCCCCGAGGGCACCTACGGGGTCAACTGCACCCAGCACTGCAAGTGCCTCAACGGTGGCAAGTGCCGGGCGAACGACGGCTACTGCAGGTGTGCACCAGGCTGGACTGGTACCCGGTGCACAGAAAGTAAGCCCTCCGATGTCATTAGCTTCAAAACCGGTGACTTTTGAACGGCTCTTAGTGGCCTGGCTTGTTTGACTGCTACGCTAAGCTAACTTGGCTTTTATTTCATTGGCTGGCTTAGTAACTATGACCATGTCTGTATGCCACCTGGGGCTTGAGTCTCATATTAATATATTAAATTTGTCTATGAAACTAACGTGCGATTACTAACATTCTTATAGTTTTTGAAATTATTTTATTTTTTTAACCATTGTTGAGCTCAATATTATTGTTAAGTATTGAATTAGTCATCGATTAGTAACTTTACCTTTTGATTCTTGCTCTTAATTCATTCTAATACAATTGTATGATGTGTTTCAACTACAGAAGTGGTTAATCGTCATCGCAATTGTTCTTTTATCATAGTATTCATACATTAATAAACAATTTTTGAGATACTTTGTGATAAAATTCTAGCAAATTCTTGAGAGACGAATATTATTAAATAGTTAAAATTAAAAAAAAAAAAAAGAAATTTATTTTAATAAATAACAAACCTTGTAACGTTGAAAACTTTGATGTCTATGCCTATAATTTGAATAAGAGAAAACCTCTAGTCTGTAAATTGCAGGTACAATGAGTTAATCGTTTCTCTTGTGATGTGTATATATCTTGAAAAAAGAAAAGAAAGGTATAAAGTATTGTTACAAATGTTAATTATATTCGAGTAAATGCTAAGTTCTTAGCTAGACGTAGTCATAAAATTTTTATTAACACATAACTATGTGAATTTACTTAACAATTTTCTCTAATTTATTTTAACCCTGCATGGAATAACAATATTTGAGTAGTTTCTTTAGTTTTTGAGTAAGGACATGTATACAAAGAATACCGTCTAATCATCTCGTATGTACTAATCTGGCTATTATATGTATAAGGTAAGACTAACTTTGATCAGTTTATATTTTCTTATTGTACTTTTCCAATGTGCTCATCATTCAATTGATTAATACAGTCATCCTCTACTACCATTGTGTGGAAGGTGTTGATCTTAAGCCCGACTAGTAGCTTCACCCACCACCTATCATCTTACTAAACCTATGACCCCTGTCTCAACTTTCTCATCCAACTTTTCTCAGCATCTCTTTATCCACTCTAGAACCAACCCCAGTAGCCCTTATTCCGACCTTATAAACTGGCTCTGCTCCCGGTCACCAATCAAATGTTTCTCACATTTTTAAACATGTTTTTGGGAAAGGATCGATGCTTGATTTTACTGTACAAAAACAAAGCTTGGTGCTCTATTTTCAAACTTACTTGAACACGTTGTACTTTACAATATGAAAAAACTAATAAAATACGATTTAAGTAAGAACACCTTCAGTTTATTCTGTATTTCCTGAAGTATTAGCACTTTAAACACTAATACAAAAACTTAATACATTTTATACATTTTTTCACAAATTTTAGAAACTTTATTAACATTGCGATTATTCAAGAATGCTTGACAAACATAATGTATAAGTTTATATTTTTTTAATTTTAGAAGTAGTCAGCTGACTAACTTATTTCATAATTAAGTATGTGTATGGTAGAATTGCTCAACTATTTCTATATGCCTAAGTTTGATGGTTGTTGGTACATATGCAGCATTGGCTTACTTGAATTCATTGAAGAGTTTGAAAAAATGTACCCAAGATGAACTTCCAAAAGAAGTATTACAAGTGGAAAAACGGAAAGCGTATCTTGAAAAAAGTTTGTCAGCATTGCTCTATCACATCTAAATTTTTTATGTTTTTTCATACGGGGATTTAGTGTTTCAGCAATAAATGTTAGAGCATGACAAATGTTTTGGATGAACAAATTTCTCTTACTTAAAAAATAATAATGACGTAATTAAACAATTCCGTTTTCTAATTCATACACATCGATACAATATATATTTATCTCATGCTGTGCTGGTCTATGCTATTTTAATCTCCATCATAGTTCTATTTATGTACAAATAAAGAAGACTCTTTAATGTACGGTGAAATTTTTTCAAACTCTGCTAAAAAATACCACGTCAATATTATCCATAAGTAATTGTGTTATTTTTATTCAAGTTTGTCCAGAAGGATACTACGGTGACCATTGTATGGAGCCATGCGAGTGCAAAAATGAATTTTTCATTTGCCACCCCGCGGAAGGTTGCATCTGCAAACATGGCTACACAGGTAAAAAAAAATAATCGATCAAACTTCAAACCTGTTTTTAGTATTATCTCACTGATTTTCTGTCATTAAAGGTCCAGACTGCACTGAAGAGCTGTACTCACGTAACGTTCAGCAAAAGGACGAAGCAGGCTACGGTGGTGTGGTTGGTGGTATTTTCGCTGGCATCATGGGCATAGCAATATTCTGCGCAGCCTGGATGTACCACAGAAAGCGCGTTGCTAATCTTAAAATGGAAATTGCGCAAGTGCAATACATAGCCGAGCCAGTCACACCTCCAGGTATGGGAACTAGTATGAATCTTTAATTAACCTTCCGTTGTAAAAGTCCACATGGATTTCAAGTGGAATGTAGAATATTATTAAGAAATTCTACATGGAAAACAATATGAAACAATCGTTACAGCCAAAGTCCACTTAAAATCTCACTTGAACTGATTATTTCTTAGTTAATTCCACATGAACCGTTTTTTCAAGGAGAGTTTCACGTGGAAAAAATTGCTCATTAATTTTTTACGACGAATTTCACGTGAAATTTCCTCAACTTTAACGTTTTATGTGAAATTGACGTGGGTGGTATTCGTAAAGTTCTACGTTGACTTTTTCAACCGAGTCGGTTCTCTGTAAGAAGTTCCATGAGGAAACAACACTTAAAATCGATTTTATATCATTTTCCAGATCGTAATCAGTTTGATAACCCTGTGTATTCGTATCAAGGAAATTCAAGAAACGATGACGGTACGGATACACTTCTTAACAATGTACAAATCAGGAATATGTTAACTAGAAAAAACGTAAACAGTGAGAAAACTAAATTAGGTCTCGGTTTTTGTACAGACGATGACGAGGATAGCTGTAAAGGTACAGAGAAGCACTTCTTAAAATTAAGCATAAAATCATTTTTTTCTGCGATTGCTCAACATTACCATTATAAGTGTTTCATCGCTATTCAATATTAACACTCTTGTCATGATTTTTCATTGCTGTCGCAGTTCGGATTTGGGTAAATATGCAAGGTATACCAATGGCATACTCAGTAGTTATAACATAAATTGAAACTTTTTGGTTCCAAACACTTAGGTAGTTAGAATAATTAAAGGAAATTTAGACTATTTAAAGAAGTAACACATTTTTTAAGGTGGAAAGATAATTTTTTCCTATCCGATCCTAAAAATAATACAATGTATTAACACCCGGGTTTTAGGAATCGACACCTTGACTTTGACATATTGATAAACCACATTTTACTCACAAAAACAAACAATGGCTTTAGCATTACACATGGTATAAATTGTACATGCTTAAATGGTACCCACGATTCATAATCCAATCAACACACAAATGAAGCTCCATCAGCTTAAAAAGCAGTTAACTTAGTTCCACATAGAATCTAACGGAATTCCTAATTGTCACAGGTGAGCATGGATTACAATACAACCACTTGGCCCTACTAAAAAACCGAGACGCTGATCTAGGTAACCCTAACATGAATGTGTACCACAGCATCGATGAGATGGACAAGAAAAACTCCGAGCACGTCTACGACGAAATAAAACAGAACAATTCCGATCTGGAGTACGACCATCTGGACTACACGAGAGCTCAGAGCGACCGGAAGCCCCATTACCAGCGCATGGCCAACAGCTTAGGATCGAGCTATCGTGACTCTGGGTGTGGGCCTAGCAGGGCCTCTACGTCTTCACACAACAATCACGATGCCGAGCTTACCAAAAGATAAAAAATGCAAAATAAGGATTCCAATGTCCTCGTATTTTTCTTGACTGTTTGTCTTCTGTGACCGTCCCTTCCGTTTGAGGTAGAGCTTATTCAAGCACGCCTTTAATCTTAGTTCATCGTATCAGCATCAACCTCAAGTAATACATCCCTGTTTCGTTGGGCACTATGACATTCGTATGTATAATTTTTGCGAAAGACTGTCTTTTTATTTTATTTTACGAAGTTATTATAATTGTATGGTGTTTCGAAGGTTGGAACGAAGGTAAGGAAATTAAGTCTTCGCATTTTTTTGCAACTTACCGATGTGTTCATCTTTGTGTAGCTTTCGATGAATTTTACTTATATTCGTAAGAAGTTTTTGTACGAAAATCAACCTTTGAATTTTTTATGTATTTTTTTGTATTCGATTTAAACATTGTATTCTGTCCTACATTGACATAGTGTAACGTAATTCAAATGTCTTATAGAATAAATTATATCCTACATCGATGTAGTGTAATGTAATTCAAATGTTTTTATAGAATCTGCTCTGGTATGCAGATTTAGTGAGCGTGAAGTTATGAACTAAGAGCATATCCATACGTGAATTACGGCATATCTATATTTTTGTTGGACACTTTTAAAATGTTTAAGTAATGTTTAGAAATAAATCTAATGAATTACAAATTGAGAAAAATCATATCGAAGCCATTTTTTTAGATGAATATTTGTGAATGTTGAAATTTTAAAAAGCCAAACAATGAAAAATTATCAAAACATATTTTAAATCGAACTCATTTGATGGCAATATCATGAGAGCAAGCTTTCATTGAAATATTGATGCGGACAAAGTTCCATTACTTGTTAATTTTTGGATACTGTATCCATGTAAATATATTTTTATCTACGATTAGTCATATAACGTTGAATATATATAACGTGTATTAAGTGACACGATATTTGCGTAGCACGCAAGTATTTGTCGAGAGATTTGTAAATTTGTTTGTGTGTACACGTATACTGTTACACTATTTAAATATTTTCTGAACTTACTGTAAATATTTCAAAGAGGTAAAAAAAAAAAAAAAAAAAAAACGATTAAAGTGCCAGTACTGTCAGGAAATGACAAGTTACAAAAGTTTTAAGGATTCAATGCATTTTCAACTGTACATAAATTTAATATATTCCACCTCACTGTACAGCAACATAAATCATGAAGTAAATGGCCACAGTCCATTGAACAAAATATAAATGACGCTCGATTAAATTTAGCCGCTTACGTTACGTTACACTTTTGGCTTATTTTGCTATGGTAAAAAACCATTCGGCTCTGGCATCATTCAAATTCAGGAATTTGTTATCATAATTGTTGTATTTGTAGTTTCGTATAAGCAGTTATCTATTTTACTATGTGCCTTGTTTTATAACCGGACAAATACATACAATATTTAACATTTTTAGGATTTTAGTGGTTTTGACATCCAGCATTGTTGTTCTTTTATAACTTAAAATCCATAATGCATTGAATCCTCAAAATCTTGCAGTTCTGTTCTTTTCTGACATTATTTGGTGTCTACGTACTTGTATGCAGTGAACACATTTTTATCTATTATTCAACGTCTATTTGTATTTTTTATTTCTAAACTTTATATGCCCTGCATTGAGACATGTTACCCCATCAAAAACCAAACAGATTTTTACAAGAATACGCATTTTTACAATGACAGTTTGAATTATAATAAAACCCAAAATGTGAAGTTATAGCAGTACAGTGTTCAAATATATTGCGCGTCTGTGATAAAATGAGAAATGCAAACGAAGTAAAGGAGACTTTCATGGTTGCGCATAAGGCCTTAATGTATGTAAAAAAAGATGTACAGTGCACTCCCTATACGTTAAGCTAAGCGTACATTATCAGATAACGCATATAGGTAGGTTTATATTTATATGCTACAATGAATAATTTTTTTCGAAAAAATTGTATACGCTGTGTCTGACTTTAAAGAAATTGAGAGCCAATAAATCATCTATAAATTTATGTTTGAGTTGTATCATTTTAGTTTTTCTTGTTTTTAGACTTTTACTACATCTTTCTAATACTTCACCCCAACTTCCAAATAATTATTTTTCCGCCCTCAGGAGGTTTTGGGAGGCTGATACTTCCTCGGGCAAAAAAGCAGTTTTCCAGAACTCGTTCGAAAAGTCTCCTTTACGAACCTCGTTACGTCCCTCGCCTGCGGCTCGGGCCGCAAACCTCTCGGTTCGCAAACAAAGACTTTTCAAACTCGTAGGAAAACTACTATTTTCTCCTTTCAGGCAGAAAGTGAGGGCCACAAGTACTTTCAGTGCCTTTTTTATGTGCGGAAAGTTGAACATTCCGGCCCGAGGGGAAACAGTACATTTCTGCCCGCAAATAAGAAAAATGAATAAGTTTTGTAATTAGTGCCACACACATTTGGTATAAAATTTCTTACGAAAAATTAAAATATTTCTATGTGGGCGTATCAACAATGTTGGCTTTTGATAAGACATCTAATTTTTACCCATAGCGATTAACGCTGAGTTTCAAAAAAGGGCAGCATTGTGCTCGGTTGCCTTTTCTATATTCCATTTATAACTATATGCAATCAGTCACGCGTACAGAAAAAGAACGAATTTGTACAAAAAATAAAATACTATAAATAGTTAATTTTGTGTTATATACGTTCAATTAGTTAAAGTGTAAAAAAAATGTTGCATCAAACACATATACATGTTGGGATTTCTTATATACCACTGAATAGCCAATAAATTAACTACGAAGTAGATTTAGTTCTTACAAGGAATAATCCTAGCATATTGTTGCCCTCTGGTGGTCATTTCTTTTATAATGATACCCTTATTTTATCAAGTTAATTTTTGTTGCTTAAAAAATGGTTGTAAAATTTTTTCTAAAAAAACCAGCATTTGGTTTCTTAGAGCGAGGGGGGCTTCGCCCCCGCCCCACTTTGGGGGGTCCGTCCCCTGGACCCTGCACAACCTTTGATGCAAACCTTCGTTTAGAAACAATAAGTTTTTACTTTTATTCAAAAAACCTCCTACCCTCCCGATCATATAGTTAATTTTAAGTATTACTTGTATTTTTTCTCTCTTTTTTTTATAAAGTGGTGTTAATTTTTTTGCCAGGGTTTAATTATTTTTTATGAGTGATATTAAAAATTACATTTTTATACATTTTTTTATCTTGATTATTTATTTTAACATCTGTTCAAAGTGATTCATTATTATATGATATTGTAAGAATCATAATTATTTATTTAAAAAAGTAAGCTTTTTATCCATTAAATAAATGTATTGATAAATATTTTTATAATTTAAATTCTAAGGACACTTTTTGACTAACCAGATAGTTAGTACAACCTCACTTTGCACCCTTAAAGAGAAAAATAGGGTACGTGACTCGAGTGGAGGCCTTCACGTTCTAGGGCCAAAAGTACTCAGTGGACGGAAAGTGCGCCCGTGAGCGGGAAGTAGCACTTTCAGCCCTGGTGGTGTAATATACTGTTCATTTTTTGTTCGTATACATAAAAATACAACGAATTAAAACTTTTATTAGTAGTATAGTCCCTAAATATAATACAAGGTGTTATATCTAACAAATAGCAGAAATTATGAGATATATCTCCATATTTTTCCGCCCCATAAAACAAGAATGGGTTTCCTTAAAAAATAGTAAAAATTATGAATTTTGAAAATGTCATGGTTATTTATTACATAAATTTCCATATAATTTACATGAATTGTTTTCATTACTTATGTGTATACATATATAAGTATTTTTTGATATGCATGTATTTTTATTTGTCATTTAACTGCCTATAATTAATTATCATACGTACATATATGCATTAAATTAACATCACAATCCTGCTTGATTTTAACATAGTGGCAGTACTATATTTCTTCTTAATTCTACAGTATCAATTAAAAGTTATAAGTGTCACTTTAAATTAGAGAGACAAATTTATTGTTTATACTCGATTTACATGCTTAGTTTATATCCCTAAATGACTTGTACTATTATTTATAACAGAGAGTTAACCACAAGGTCGACGTAGACATGGATGGAAGAACATGTCCAATTCCTAATTTTTGGCAGTATGAAACACAAGTTACTGATTTATCTTTCGTGAATTTTCTTTTTAGTGCAGTAATAGTAAAAGTAACGTCTACAATATTTATAAAAATATAACTAATTTTGTCAATAATACCTATTTTCTTAGTATAGTCAAAGGTGTAGTTCTAAGAGATCGATGTAATTATACATTAGCTATGAACCTAATATGATGTTATGAATATTCCAAACAAATGTTGTTATAAATTGGATTTATTTTTATACTTATACTAAATATCTATATAATTATACTAAAAAAAAAAAAATGTTTATTGTTGAATAGTTAGAGTTCTTATAATTAAGTATTTGTAATGACATCAATTATCATATTATTATATCAATGCTCCTCATTATACGGCATTTGTCTACGTTATTTCGTGAGCCGAAAGTTTGAAAGAAGCAATTTTACAGCAATACCCACATCATCAAACGAGTATATTTTACCTACAGTTATTTCTACCCAATTATTGCGATGAAAATTAAAAATTGTTACAGACCATATTCACACTATTTTCCATCCAATCTAAAGTTATTTTCTGCCTCTACGTCGCATTAACTTTGAACTCAGTATGAGTAAGAGACTTCGCAGGCGATCAGAACAAATCGACAATAAATAATCCTAACTTTGTTTAAATACATATGTAAATTGTAACTCGGATGATCCAAGAATGGATGATAATTACTATGAAAAGTGACAATGAGCAAAATCGAAAGCGATCAGTGGGGAGGTTTTCTTCCATCCACCTCGTATGGAATAACAAACAAGACCAATCGAAGACCGGTGCTTCATACGGCCCCCGTATATAAAGAGGGGCCATCCATTAGTCAGTCCTCGCATGGCACGTAGCCGCTCGATTAGCGAATCAGGGAATTCTCGTACAATCATATCCTCGACGAGTCGAGCTCGTCCTCGTCCTCGCCGCCGATCAGCTCCTCGCTCTCCGGCCTGTTGTAGGCGTAGTACGTGGCAGCGAAGCCGCTTTTCGCAATCGTGTCGTCCGTCCGGAAGCGCACCAGCAGAGCTTCGTTTATTGAGATGATATCCGTCGTGTTCTATCGACATACATTTTTTGTAATTTTATTTTGATTTGAGGACTTTAATTTCCGGGGCTTAAACATTAGAATGGAGCTTTTTTTGTAACTTATTAGTCCATAACGTCATAGAACAACATTGGTGGGCTTAAAGTTATCTTTCTGAGCCAACAAGAAAGATGGAGTTTCATGTGCACAAGTGTACCTTCCATCGCACAAAATTGAGAAATACATGTTTACTCATTTAACAATGCTAATAGAGGTACTTCTGAAATGATTTCTTGGTTCTTGTGGATTTTTTAGTGTATTACACTTTTAAATTTGGTTGGGCCTTTTGTTTTAAGCACGAGCTTAAGTTAGAACTCTGCAAGTCATTCTTTCATGGAATGAATAGTAATTTTTTTTTTTTTTAATATTCCGCTTTCTTGTAAAACTCAAACAAAGTCAATGCCCGCCTCTATACATGTGTGCATATATCTGCGCAAATTTGCATAAGTTGTCGTATCTCAAGTGCTCTCTTAACCTTTGCGTATTGAGCTCAAAGTTTTTAATTTAATCCTCCCAAGATAATGTTTACCAAAGTACCGCTTTAACCAGGCTTTTTTTATTTTTCGATTCCACAAAAATTATTGAGCCAGTTGTAAGATGGTTCAAATTTTAGTTAGCTATTTTATGGGTTTTTAACATGGGAATAAAAAAGTTTTCCGTCAAAATCTACATAACTATTGGTATGATTTTAATTTTTCAATAAATGGCAAAAAAACGTACCTCTATTCTTACAATGAAATCAACCAATAAGAAATTTTATAATGAAACTTTTAACTTCCGAGAGAATTACACACGTTGGGTATATTTTGTTAATACATATAACCTTGATTTATTAATAGATTTTTAAAAAATTTAATTGCAATACTTTGTAGCAATAATCGAAAGAAATTAAATTAGAAAAAATGTGAGTATGTCAAGAGTGAAAACGTTAAGGAAAATTTGTTTGTCCAACAAAAAAAAATCAGTTGAAAAATACTTAGATAACTCTATGTGATCAGTAATAAAACAAGCATGTATGTATTCAAAACTAAAGGTCAACCCTTTCTATTGCATTAAATTATAAGTTTTACCTTATTTAATTACTTTTATTTAATACAATTTATCCAATGCTATAGTGAACCTGCAAAGAGCCATATATTTTTCATGGTTGTTTAATTTTTTTAAACTACTTATAAATTAAAAAAGAATTATTTTAAGTTTTCCAACGCTAACTGTAAGATTGAGTGAATTCACATTCGTACACGCTTATATGTTTAAAAAATGAAAAGAATGACTTAATTTTTGGATGGAATAATTTTTTCCTTATTTGGATTTTCTTTATTTGAACGTTTATTATGCACTCAGCATGAAAAATAGAGTTTGTTCCTATTATTCTTTTAAGAAAAAAAATAACACTCTTCAATGTCATAATATGTCACATTTTCGAATAAATGTATGTAAAAGGAGAAAATACTTTTTTTATCATATTTTTTAAATACGTGGTAAGATTGTACAATGTTTGATATTTCATCAAAAATTATTTTATCAACCAAAACGAGCAATTTTAAAAATAAGTTTTCTTTTAATGAATACGGTTTTCAAGTGTACGATTTTCTACTATTCACACCAATTCATGATGATCAGATAAGTAAAAAGATTTTATATACGATACGATATTAGCTAAAAACAAGAATTTATCATTCTAAAAGATGATACAAAGATGAATAAAATACATTTATTCAATGGAAAAAAGATAGTAGTTAGAAATCTCACCGAACTTCCGCAAAGCCTCCCGTAACTGGGGCTCGACGTATCCAGTCCTGAATGAACTTCAACCCAATCATAACTGCAATCAGTTTCGTCTTCCAGATTGAACGATAGGAAATTAAGATGAACATTTTTGCCGGGTGGCGCTTCAATGGTCCAATCACAGTCCATCCTGTGATCGTAATCTTGACTACCATAGCGAGCGTGAGAATAAAAGTACCTTACACGATCCGTTGCCGTCAAATGACCACCACATGCTGCAAGATTAAACATAAAATTTTTACTATTTTCATCACTTTGTTTTTTTTTCTTTACATCTTAAGCGCAATGTTATACATGTAGAATAAGTAACGAATATAGCAAATGATATTTAAACCACGACTATAATTTACAATTGCCGTAAAATAAGTCACTACTACACACCCGTCATGTGCTGGGCGTAAAATCCTTGCTTCTGGACAGTCGCATCGCTCTTGAAGACCATAAACAATTGATTGCCAGTGGCCAGGATAGGATGTGGTTCCTTGTTGCCACAGAAACGCCCGAGTGGCTGACTTTCTGGAGACTCGCCGTCGTAAATTGCTATGTGGTCGTAAGCGCACTTCTGATGGGGCTCCATGTCGAAAACTTTGAATATCTATTCAAACATCGAACATTTATCAAAGGTATTTATTACCCAGTAGTAGTGCAATATACGATGTGCATATGTATGCTTGTGTTCCAAGAATTTGAATTTTTAGAATAACTAATAATAGACGTCAAGGTACTTAATTATTTATGATAACATGTTAAATCGATAAAACTATAAGTAAAAAATCAATATTTCTAATTTTAGTTTTTCTAATAAATCTGAACATATTTGGTGTGGTGATTTCATGAATCGAAATTGTTGTCATGATTTCCTCCATTCTTTAAAAAATCTTCAAGTAGTAGCGATAGTTAGTAATTTTCGGCATACAAGAATGAACATGAAATAAGCCGTTCAAAGTACAGTCTCATTTTTGCAGATATTCTTATCAACTTCCTACGTTAACTTATGTTGTTTGAATAAAATACCCCACTAAAATGATTTCTTTGTTGTCATATTATGTCCAATTTTTCTTCAACTAGAAAAGTTTGTTTCAATTTTTCATTCACTTAAATGGTATTAAAAATAAAACTAGAACACAATTTTGAAAACATCATGTTTAAAATGATATAATTTCTATTTACAAGATAATATATGTGCTTCCCCGAGCCTACTAACCACAAAGATTACAGGCATATCAACACTCAGTAGTACGTGTATTGTTTGAACATAGTATAATGGACACTCATTTTAAGTTGGATACGCAGAATCAGTGATTTGTCAACGACTGTCAATAGTCTTGCAGTGTACAAGAAATATAACTTCATTCTAACATATAATTTTGCAACCATAATTTCTCAATAAATGATTCCTTCGAACCTCATTACTTTTTTAAAAGAAAATTAGAAAGAAAAAAGTTTACAACACATACTGGCATGTCATTTGTTATAGTTTTTTAAAAAGTAATTTTTATTGAATTTTTTATTTATTTATTTAT